GCGCTGAGAATCGCAAGATCGCAGAACAGGAGCTCCTCGATCTAGAGAAAGCCAGTCGCAAGCCCGACCCTAAGGCGAACCGCGTCGCTGTCCCCGTACCGAAGGTAACTGAGGCCGAATTATCTCGTCGTCGAGAGGAGGAGAGCCTCCGTCTTCAACGTGCGGCCGAGGCTGCTAAGAAACGCCAGAGCCGGACTGCGGACGAGGAAGAGTATGAGCGGATGGTGCTTGTGAGCAACACCAACAGGGACGATTCAGTCATCGAGGCGCACTCCGTGGAGGAAGCGATTGCGAAGATGGCCGTCGCCGATGCAACGCTTCCGCCCGATCGTCATCCAGAAAGGCGACTCAAGGCTTCGTTTAAGGTGCGTCTGGTTCCTGGTTTATTTATTTTGTTTTATGCTTTTTCTTACAAGTTTCTTGCTAATTGTGAAAAGAAACGTGTTATTAGGACAATCTTATGTGGGTTTTTGGTGATACATTAGTTATAGATTGAAAATTAGGATTTCGGAAGTTAGGGAAAGAAGAGAAACAGCGAAAAGATTCAGGAAAGAAGTGAAACAGCGAAAAGATTCAGGTTGGAACCCATTTTTTAGGAAAACCTAGTAGCTAGGAAGTAATCATTTCTAACTGTTGTTCTTTCTGCAGCAAGCTTATTGCAGAATGAACATGCTGTCTTTAATGGTAGCTGAATTTGAAGGATCTTTTTTGTTTTCCGTACGCCTGCTGACATTGGTTTCCGTGTTGTCTGATTGTTGGGTGTGTGCAATCAAGTTCAAATGCCTGATCCAATATTCATCCAATGTTAGGAAGATGAATGTACGGTGCATTCAAGTTTGTGAACTTAGCAGACACTGTATGTTAATCTTGGCTAGGTTAAGATGGATAAGCCCTTGGCTGATCTGGAATTCATTTCAGCTGCTATTGGCATTCTTATTTATACTCATTTTTATTTCTCAATATTCTTTGATAGTAACAATGTTTATTGCATATGGACCATGATCTTAATTATCTGCCAGCTATTTATTGTCTCACAGGTATCAGAACCATGGATTCAAGTGTCTGATGGTATAGGATTGCATTGTTGCATGTCACTTGTTTGTCATTCTCTGTTATGATTCAACAAGTGAGATACTATTGTCATGATCTAGAGGATAATGAACAAATTGATAGAATTACTAGTATGGAACTATGGATGACGAGAAGATTTTAAAACATCATTATAAACTATGTCATTATAAATGAATTTGCATTGGATTGTTCTTCTGGTTTTAGTAATTCCTTTTTCAACAAGTTCTTACTACTGCATTTACAGTCTAAACCTTTTACCTTCACACTAAAATAAGTTCACTTATTTTTAGTCTTATGATGTATTTATTATTTTCATTTGATCCTTTTGTGTTCTTAGTTTGTTGTGCACACAATCTGACATATAAGATGAAGCAATTAATCTATCCTCTTTAGCCTTCATACTTTCATGCAAGGTTCTCTTTGTGGATTCATTTTTATAGTTAATTTTAATTCAGCTAGATCATTTTGTGGAACTTTTAATCAGGATATCATTGATCTTCCCTTTCTCTTCCAATCATATCGTTTATTCTCATGTTACTTTCCTGTTTAGGTATTCTACTAATTCTTTTATGTATTTAGTAAGTTGGCATGTTAGGGATAATTTTTATGCTCTTTTTGTTATGAGTAATATCCACAAAACTTTTTCTGATTTGCACCTTTTTCACAAATCATTTCTAGTTTTTTTTGGCATTGTTTCTCAACTTTCACTTGTAAATTCCATGTTTTAGTTTTATTCTCAGTTCAGCACCTAGATCCGCATGTCTTAATTATTTGAATGGAATGACATATATCCCTTTTGAAGTTATCGGGGGAAATTTTGCATTCTTTTATTAACCACATGTTCTCTTTGCATTTTATGAAATACATTTTAATTATGGTAATTTTATTCCTTCACGAAAAATCTAGACCCTCTTTTAAAAACTAATGTAAAGGTTAGCAAGGTGTTATGAATATGAATATGAATAGTAAGATGATGTGTCATCTGCTGCTTTTTTTTTATGGGTAGTATAATTGTAGCATTTGGTAGGCATTCTTCTTTCTTTTCTAGCAAATTGCATCCTAGGTATATTTTAGACATCATTGGCCCAACTTGAGCATATTTGCAATTTCCCTGGTTTGCGAGTTTATTTTTTGCTGTACATTCTTATCTTGAGCTGCGCATGATGTTAATTCTGTGAGAATCTTACTTTTGAATGACTTCTAAGTTCTAACCATCGTTTTATTTCTTATCACTTGTACTATTTTTAAACTTATTCTTCACTTACTATTGCAAATGGCCATCGCATCATAGCCTACGAACCTGGCATCAATCAATGCTCCTACCATGCTTTCCCGGCGGAAATATGAAATAGGCTCGATGCCCTAGTAATCTACGTGGTGTTTGTTAGCATCACACACTTAATTGTGTAGGATCTGCATTTTACAAAAATCTTACTCATTTGTCTGCTAGCAAGGGAGCTTGGTAGGTTACTTGCTCTCTTTGACAGGTGGCTCGTATGTGGAAAATTATCATTAGCTGTTTCACTGATTATTCTTGTTTTATTCCTAAGAAGTCATCAAAACTTCTTGTTACCCTTCTACAGTCTTAAGACAAAAATACTTATAAATTCGATAATTTCGAAACTTTGTTTGGTCTTGTCATGTTATTGATGTGCTGTGCTGTAGATGTGTTTTCCATGATCGTGAATCCATGAGTGAAATGCATGTGAGACACATCACTTTGTTTTGCACATTCTCTATTCTAATCAAAGTTATGATATTTTGATTTGTTCGAAAGGCAAAACTGCCTTAAAGCTTTCCAGACAATACCTCACACATAACCTATTGACTTTGAAGTAACCCCATATATTAAATATATTGTCGGTTAAAAGTGGCAGACCATATTATTTTTTTTGTTTACTACTTGATTCAATGCAATTTTCTTCCATAGTGATTTGGTTAACAAATAGTAGGTTTGTTACCGCAGGCATTTGAAGAAGCAGAGCTTGCTATTCTGAAGGAAGAGAAACCAGGGTTGACCCTGACACAGTACAGGGACATGGTGTGGAAACTATGGAAGAAGTCCCCTGACAATCCTCTTAATCAACAGGTATATTGCACAGCAATGGATACATGCCAAAGAGGAATTTACTTCGCGTAAATTATTTTCCATGCATGCATCAATTTGCACCTTTGCAGGCTCCATATGAAATCATTGCTTATATTAACTTTTCGTATACATTATATTAGATATTTGGCATGATTTCCTGGTCTAAAGCATTGTTAATCAATTGTGGAATATTAATAATATAGAGGATTCACACACATATGATAAAATTCTTATGCAGTTTCATATCTAGCACCTAAACTTTAATATTTACTTATATAGAACTTTAGTGTCTCAATCACATGCGCATTAAAAGGTTTATTTTAATTTTAGAAAGCTAATTTTAGTGGTACTTTTGATGCGATTTAAAGATTTGTTTTTCATAAGTAAATATTGAAATTTAGATTCTAACTTTATAAGTAAATAAGGGTTGTGTGCTATGCTGTAAATCCCCTACTTATTTTTGAGTTGTTAAAAAGAAACTTTGAGGCATGCAATATGGTTAAAAACTTTATAGCATGTTTTTCAAGTTAAACGCTTTGACGTGAAGGTACGAAGCTTTGCTTCTCTGGGAATGAAAATCATTCCCAATCAATTGTGAAGTATTAATAGTATATGATTTGTACTTCTATAAATTTTTTTATTGAAAACTGTTAGTGCTTCATGCTTCAAAGTATGAAATGTTGTTAAAAGTGTGCTTCAAAGCATGTTTTAGAAGGTAAGCACTTTTATATGGAGGAACATAGCTTCACTTGGTTGTCATGAGTGTTGGAGTCTTGAAGCGTGGTAATATTTTAAACTTCATTGCAGAGAAATTTAGTACATGCGGTTTAGTTTTGCGACTTATAGTGCATGCAGTTTAAAATAACTTGTTGATTCATGCAAAGGAAAAAAGAGGGTTTGGTTACCCCAATTAATAAAAAAAAAAAAAAAGAAAACACATTGCTCCTGTTTTTTCCCCAACTCATAGTTTTTATTCCGTACATGACTTCTGCATCATCAGTTTTCCATCTAAGTTTTTTTTTTTCTCCTCTTTCGATTGATTGTGCTTTTAGCTAATATGAATGCTCAAACAGAACTCTAAACCTCATGCTAATGCAACACTTGACTTTGAAAAGTAGTTCTCATTCTCATGGGATTTCCTGGATTTTTGAGTTTCTATTTTGATTTCTTTGCCAATTTGACTTTGTCACGATACACTTCTTTCATTTCCACTAAGAACAACAACGATAGTTTTTGTATCATTACAAAGTGTTGTCAATAATTCTTTTAAGTCTACGGGAAGCTTAATCAGCTAAACTCCATCTTCTTAATTTTATGGCCTCCTCTTCTACTAGAAGATTCAACCGACTCTATTAGCGTTGAATTAAAAACCTGAGTTAGCATTAGCGGCGCACATTGACGGGAGAAACTCTTGGTCGCAGGAATTGCATGACCACACTCCCTTCAAGGCAACAATCAACGTGACTACTAAAAAATTTCTACAAATTATTGTAGGAGTTGTTGGATTGGTGTCAAAATCTCCATCAAATCCATGTCATGTGTCTATTTCATCTTATACAACTCGATCAAGAACGCCAACCCTGTGTTCTGTATTGCCCAAACCATGGTCTTGAGTGTCATCATCATCTTGCACAAATTAGGGTCACCACGAAGTAACGTCATCTTGTCTCCCTCTTGGAACTTCATTGTTAGACGTTTTCAATTCATCTTAGTCTCCTCTAAGGACTGCAATTATTTCATATCTAATATCACGTTAGTGCTTCCTAAATCCTAGGGAAGAAAATCCTCCATAAATTGAATACTCTGCAGTGTTAAAATCACTCATTTACAAACTCTCTTGCTCCTCTCCATCAGTCACATCCCCATTATGACTCCAAAGTTTCATGTGTCAACCATCTTAAGGCCCAATTACCTCACTACTTGAGTTGAGATGCAGTTGTGCTATCTACCAAAACCACTAATTCTTGCTCTTCGATCTATCCTGGAAGTTTCATAGTGCAATTATGTGTTAACCCCACCTTCGAGTTCAATGAAACTTTTGTCACATTTTAGTATGGGCATTCCTCCACCACAATCTCCTCTGTTTCTTCATCACCTGTCTCCTCTTCGTATTGTAACAATGTTTTGGGACAAATTTCTCATCGCATTGAAAACATAACCTCTTAGCTCGTTTCTCTTGAATATTTGTCTTTGTAAGGCTTATGAATGTCGCCCTTAATCGCGGCCTGTTATTTTTGTTCCTTGGAGCCTCTCTCTGAAATCTCACTATTTGAGTTTTTGGTATTGTCATTGTTGTAGCATTTTAGTATTACACTCTACTTGTATTGCTCCTATTAGCTTGTTTCATTATATTTTTATCTTTAACAAGTTGTGCTAATTTCATAATTTCTCCCAATCATTACGATCTCAACAAATGAAGTATTGCTCGAATTTCTGGACTTAGCCCCCTTTCATGAAGTTTCCTTCCAAATTTTTTTTTGATATCACTTTCAAACAACTTGATATCATCTCAAATTTTTCTCTATAATCCATGACGAATCCTTTCCGAACAACTGTAAAAAATTGCTGTGTAAATCACCTTCTTGCATGGTTCTGAATTGCTTCAGTAAGCAATCATTGAATTATTCTCATGCTCTGATTGTCTGTCGTTGTTTTCTCCATAAGTACCATGCTATAACCTTCCCTTTCAAACACAGAACCGCCACTATCAATTTTTTATTACTCTATCAGCCATTAACAACAAGTATCTCTTCACGTGATAAACCCAACCATAGGCTTCCTCTCCTTCAAAGATCGATATCTTTAGCTTTTTTATGCATGAATCTCTTCCCCAATTTCTTCGACCGAAGCTCATTTCTCCCATAAAGCTTTTTTATGCATGAATCTCTTCCCCAATTTCTTTGACCGAAGCTCATTTCTCCCATAAAGCGGGAGTTGGATCCTTTTCTCGACCCATATTGATTTTTCTTCTTCTATAAGTCTGACTCATCTCATAATCAACTCGTCTATCCCCATAGGCTTCGTAATCTCCTTTCACTTGAAAGGTTACTGCAGAAAATGACACTGGCACGGTTGGAAGTTCCCCTCCACCGGGGCCCACTCACTGTGGTTCTCTGTTCCAGGCCGAAGCTCATTCCATCCATGAAGTGAGAGTTGGGTTCCCTTCCTCAACCCATATTGATTTCTCTTCTTCTATAAGTCTGGCTCACCTCATAATCAGCTCCCCCATCCCAATAAACTTCTGAACCGCCTTCTGTTCAGAAAGCAACCATAGCAAAAGACACTGAAGCGATTGGATGCAACCATCCACTAGGGTCCCACCCACCGCGGTTCCCTCTCGTTTTGCATGTTTTCACTCATTCCAAACCTCCAGATGTCGCACAATTTCCTCCAGGTGTTCTTTTTCTCTTTCACTCCCGACTCCTTCACTTGATCTCACCTGCTTCCATTCGGTCTAGCCGAATGTTGTGCTATTCCTTTTTACTCTTGTCGCTCGAGTTTTTTCCCGATTTCTTCGCTCTATCTTGCGACTCAATATCCACCTAAGGCATCGACACTGCCCTGATGTCGCATGAATCCTTCTAATTGCTATCACTTGCATCCACTCCTTACACCGTTATCGATCCTACGACGGGCGGCGACAGGGTTACCTGAAACACCATGCTCTCTTCATCATTCCGTTAAGGGGCAAGAATTGCCTCTCCATGGCTGCGAAAGTCCTCTATTTCAGATCTGATTTGACTCACCTCTTCCTCTAAGTTCTCTTCCACAATATCTATTTTCTTGGATGCCATTACTGCGACGTTGATTTTAGATCATGAAGACAGAACTCGTAGTCTTATGCGTCGCGATCCCATTGTTAGTAATAATTAACAAATGACTAAATTGCCTTTTTAGTCCTACACCTAACATAAATTTTTAAATTATTTGGGCGCTAGAGACGCTGATCTACCAGAAACACATTTGCAAATCCTTCTTTGCACCATTATGTGATGGAATTACGTAATTATATACAAAAAAATGGGTCTCTTGTTAAGTGCTTGCAAGCGAGTAAATGAGATCGAACTTGCTAGAGAAACTACAAGATATTTTGCTTAATGCTACCCATTTTTTCTCATTTATAGTATGCTCGTTTAATGTTTCGTAATTTTGACTTGCGTAACAAATCATTTCATGCTGTGCCAACCATGTTTTAATGTCATAAAAATATTTGGATTGAAGTATAAGTTGGAAGCTTATAAGCAAATCATTAGATAGTTTGATTTCATTTCATATATTTTTTTCATAAATTTGTGATTCATGGGTCCAAAATTTTGTTAATTGAATTATATTTATTTGTACGAGCAATTACATAAACTTTTTTATTCACTATTACAGTCATATGTAATAAACTTTTTTTATTAGATTTGTAACGGCAATTAAATTCCTAGTCATTATTATTTATTAATTCTTGCCTTTTACTTTATTCTATTCTGTTTTATTTCTTTTCTTGTTGTGCCTATTGTAATTGGGTTTAAATACCCCATTCTTTTATCAATAAAATTATGCTGCTCTATTCCAAATCTCAAGATGATACAGAGTCTAGTCTTAGATCCAAGCCTTCGCCGGCCTCTTTTGCAGCCTCCAGTCTCTTCAACAGTTGGTAGTCCTGCATGTTTTCCTTTCTGCCGTTCCTTTGCAAGCACAAGCCGCCAGGCCAGCAGGTGTTTCCCTGGAGCTCCCCTTCCACTCGCTAATCAGAAGTGCAAATTGATCTCCTCTGCCTTCCTCTGCAAGTGCAATTGTATCCGTCTCCTCTGCTGTCCTCTGCAAGTGCAATCTGCCACTACTGCCGTAGGGAATGATCAAACTCTTTGTATCCGTATTCCAGTAGAATTGAATTCTTTTTAGGGAACAATCATCTCCTCTGTCCAGCAGAATTCTTGCAGAATCCTTTGAACTCCTTTGTTTTGTCCAACAGATATCCTATAGCAGAATTCCGACAGAATTCTTTTGCTGTGTTTAGAAGAATTCCCACAACAGTCCAACGTCTCTGCATGTGTTAGGATCCGGATTCCTGCTATTGTATCTATCTGTCGGTGACCTACTTGAATTCATCGATGTCTCGGAATCCCAACCTCATCTTCGACTCAGCCAGAATCAGAGAGGACTCCGCCATCCTACCTCGAGCTTGTCACCCAACTTGCGATTACTGTCACAAACACAACCACACTTGGGACAAATGTTGGAAACTTCACGGTATGTTGGCTTACAAACCTTTGACCAAATCCTCTACTAGCAAAGGTCTTACGGCGACTGCCGAGCCTACCACTGATCAATTAAATCCTACTTGGAACATCCTAGAATCCTCAGAATGCCTGAAAAACTAGATGAAGCAATTGGTTAAGTTCTTAGAGCCCATCAAGTCTCTATAGGTCAATTGACCTCTCACGTCCGAAAATGCACTCTTTCTATAGCTTTCAAGATTTCTTCCTCCACTAAACCATGGATTATTAATTCAGGTGTCACGGATCACATGAGTGGATGCTCACAAGTTTTCTCGACTCACTATCCGTGTTCGGGAAAATATATCATTAGAATTGTCGATGGCTCATATAGTTTCATTGCTAGTAAAGAGTTGAGTCTGTTTTACATATTTCCCAATTGCAATGTAACTTATTTTTTTATTAGCAAGTTAATAAATGATAATGATTATGTTGCTAATTTCTCTTTTGATGTTTGCGTTTTTTAAGACCGTCGTTTGGAGAGGATAATTAGAACCGCTAAGAGAGTAACTGGACTCTACTACTGCCAAAAGAAGAGTACGGAAAATATACAGACACACCTCTTAAGTTGTAGTTTATCTTGAGTCATTGAATGTCTCATTATGTTAGTGCATTGTCATTAGATTATCCTAGTTTTCAATATTTAAGAAGTTGTATCCATTGTTGTTTTATAATAAAAACCCTTCTAATTTCCATTGTGAGACATGCCAGTTAGTCAAACATCATCGGATCCATTACCCATCCCACACTTACACTCCTGCTCCTTTCTCCCTTATTCTCAGTGACCTATGGGGACCTTCTCGTACTACCAGTTATACCAATAAAATATGGTTTCCGACTTTGATTGATGATCACACTCGAATGGTTTTAAAAGACAAATCGGAAGTTGTCACATTCCAAAACTTCTACACCTTCATTTTAACTCAGTTCAAAACTTTTATTCAGGTCCTTTAGACCAACAATGATCGTAAAATTTTCAATTCTATTTTGGGTGAATTCTTAATAAATAAGGGCATCATCCACTTTAGCTTTTGTACGGACACACATCAACAAAATGGTGTAGCTGAGAGGAAAAACTGTCACTTTCTCGACATTGCTCGCTCCATTATATCTCAATCCAATGTCCCAAAACATTTTTGGAATGATGTCATTCGCACTGCCACCTATCTCTTAAATAAAGTTCCATCTAAAATTCACAAGTTCCAGACTCACTTAGTCATTATGATGTCATGCTTTCCTACCAATAGGATCTTCTCTACATTAAGATTTTTTGGTGCAATGCTTTTGTTTTGATCACTGCCCCCAATCGAAGTAAACTTGATCTCAGATCTCAGACCATAAAATGTATCTTCCTTGAGTGTTCCGCCACTCAAAAGGGGTATCAGTTCCTTGATACTATCACTTACAAAATCTATGTGTGTTGATGTCTCTTTTGAAAGTGTTCTTATTTTCCTAGTTCAGCCCCAAGTGTGGGGAAGCTTGGGTTCTTAAACACCATCCCTTATCCAACTCCTATGGATGTTCCCCCTATTGTTCTCGCTACTGAAGAGTCCCTCGTCCCGGTGCGTGCACCATCCGATGATATTTCTCGGATCCGGTGAGTGCACCATCTCGTGAGTTCCCGGATCCGGTGCACCATCTCCCCTCCCACTCTTCGTGTTTACACTCGACATAGCCGTTTCAATGCTCCTACTCTTGAACCCACTACCTCCCTACAAAACTTTGAATCCACTATGAACGACATCCTCAGTGCGACCCCTCCTCTGAATGATGAGTTGAGTCCTCCGAGTAAGGTATGAAATCAAACACACTCCTCTATTTTATGACAAAAATGTCTCTTTTCAAAGTTTATCACCTACTTACATAGCATTTGCCACTACCCAGACGGACCATCATATCCCAAATACTATTGAGGTTACTCTTGCTAATCCAGCTTGGAAAATGACAGTAATGGCAGAGTGAATTCCCTTTAGCGGAACCATACATGGGACGTCGTTGACCTTCCTTAGGCTAAGAAAGAAAGTTGTGGGGTGCCGATAGATTTTCAGCATCAACTTCAACTTTGATGGATCTTTTGAATGCAACACGACACGATTGATTGCCAAATGATACTCACAGACTTACGAATTTGACTTTGAGGAGACATTTGCTTCAGTGGCTAAGTTAAACTCTATCTGTATTCTGTTGTCCCTTGCAGTGAATCTCGATTGCATTTATTTCTGCTGGATGTTAAGAATGTTTTCTTATGAGAGAGTTTACAGAAGAGGAATACATGTTTCTCCCTCTTGACTTTGACTCTACTCCCTCCAAAAAGCAAGTGTGCAGGCTGTGAAATTCTCTTTATGGATTAAAGAAGTCCCTCAGGGCCTGACTTGACAAGTTTACAAGGTGGTAATGGGTTACGGTTTTACTCGAGCTCATATAGATCCTTCTATTCTTCTGACATTCCTCCAATTGTAAGGTAGCTATCCTTATTATCTATGTTGACGTTATTGTTCTTACAGATAATGATCTTCCAACATTGGAGTCCTTAAAAGACACTCTTGCTATGTTCTTTGAAATGAAAGATTTTGGATCTCTCTGGTACTTCTTAGGCATTGAAGTGGCTCGATCATCTCTGGGCAATTGCCTATCACAACGCAAATATGTGATCGACATTTTGAAACAGAACAACCTTCTTCTGTGCAAATCAATGACTGTCCCTATGGATCTCAATGAATAATTATCTGACATTCCCAACGCTATGCCTGTCAACAAGACTCCTACCATCGCCTTGTGGGGAAACTCATCTATCTTGCCCATACTCACCCCGACATATGTCATGCAGTTGGTATAGTGAATCAATTCATGCATGACCCCTATGAACACTATCTTCAAATTGTCCACCGAATTCTCCACTATTTAAAAGGTACACCGGGCTCGGATTTACTTTTCTCTCGTCACACCTCTTAGTTTATTGTTGTTTCTACAAATACTAATTGGGCTTAGTGAGTTTATGACTGTCTTTTCATCTCGGGGTATTGCTCATTTGTATAGGGAAATTTGGTCACATGAAAAAACAAAAAACATTCTATGGTTGCTCGAAGCAGTGCTGAAGCTGAATTCCGGTCCACGGCCTTGGGGATCTATGAATCCCATCATGCTCCGTGAACTTTGTATGCCGACCTCCGTCCCGCTGCAACTATTATGTGATAATAAGATCGCCATCAATATTACTTACAATATAGTCCAGCATGATAGTATCAAACATGTAGAGATTGACAGACACTTTATTAAGAAAAAATATTGAGCCCAGGAAAATTTGTGTGCCTTTTGTAACCTCCAGTGATCAACTAGCGAATTTTTTCGCCAAGAATCTTCCTCGACCTATGTTCGATGACTTTAAATCAAAGTTGAACTTTATTAACATATATGCTTTAACTTGAAGGGGAGTATTAGATTTATAACGACAATTGAACCCATAGCCGTTATTACGTATTATTCCTTTCCTATTTATTTTTTTTTGTTTTAGTTCTTTTCTTTATTGTGCCTATTGTAATTGTGTTTAAATATCCCTTCTTCTATCAATAAAATTTTATTGCTCTGTTCCAAATCAAGCATTGTTTATATCAATTTTTCTGAGCATACAGTCTGCCAAAGAGGAAATCGGTCCTCTTCGGAATAGAGATATTTTAGAAATATCAATTGATTGAGTCGTTAGGTTCATTGTTGCGGTCAAATGACTAAAGTATTCTTTTCCATTTTCATTTAGTGATGCTAGATTTTGGCTTGAGCCAAACAGCTCGAAGAAAACATCTCTATGTAGTATTATTGGCTTCTTTGAATTGATATTAGTTGTTATGGTTATCATCAAACAACAACAACGGCAACAACCACAATGACAACAACAAGCTTTTATCCCACTAAATGGGGTCAGCTACCTGAATCCTTTTTCTCCACTACGTCCTATTGAGTGTCAAATTTTCATGATGTGATGCATCTTTAATCTATGACAAATTTTTTATATGCTTGCTCATGGATGTGCTATAGATGATTTTGAAAAGAAGAAATAGCAAAGCTATTAAAATTTACATCGGTTATTTCCCACTAAATTTCCTTGTGATGAAGAATATACATATCAGACACGCGCATGCGCGTGCACACACACATATGTATGCAATTCATAAATATGTAAACAAAATCAGGCTATTATCATGTTGAACATGATCCAATAAGGCTTCTTTCTTATGTGGCTCATTAAATACACGAGCTTACATAAATTTGTCAAAATCCAGCTAATTATTGATCTATATATATATATTTATTTATTCTGCTGTTGTTTCTCTGATTATCATTTCTCTTCTAACTTTTAGTCTTACAATATGGACAAAATGCTAAAATATGTTTTACGTGAACAGGCTTCTGAGTAATGGTCGGGCTGCTGCAAATGTACGTTCAAGGCAAGTTTTACTTCTTAAATTGTCTGATAATTTTGAGGGATAATTACATACATAGCATCCAAAATATTGCTATTTACAAAATCTAGCACCAGACTATATTTTTGTAAAATGAAAAATATGTGCTTGGTTTTTATCATGAATTTTGATATTTGAGTGAGAATTTGAAAAATGCATGAAAGAGGGTGCTAGATTTGTAAATAGCAAATTTTGGGGTGCTAATTTTTATTCATCCTCTTCCATTTTCCGGTCCATTTCAGTATCTACAAGGAAAAGAAGAAGATTCTCACTGTGTTCTCCACCTCTGTAATGGCACCTCTGTAATATGTTATTTTGGTGCTGAAGTGATGCAGCAGCTTGTCTTGAACGAATCAGCATTATATTATGAATTGGTTGCAAGAAGAAGGGCAAATTCATTTGAATGAACAATTGACATTTCATTATGATTCTGATTCTCCCATTAATGTAAGTTGTTTTGTCATAATTAAGGCTTTGTTTGAGATTATTTTATATTTTTTCTCTCTTGATGGAATAGAGTGTTCAGTTCAAAATAAGGGGCATTTACATACACGCCACCCAATTCTTATTTATTTCCTCATCTACACAAACTTTGATTTTCATATTTTTGCGTTGCAAATTCTTTATTTTACATAAATAATATCACTATTTAAACTAAGTTAAATGTACCCTTTTACGCGTAAGGTGGCATGTGTAAAAATTGAATTTAGGTGTTGGCTAAATACATAAGAGCGGGGGTGTTTTTGAAAACGTCGCAGTACTGTTTGGATTGCGTGTTTTGTCCGCTTATCCGAAAATGCGGTTTCATTTTTACATTAAACGCAGGCGCGGGTCGACCTGCAGATCGCCTTTCAGGATAAGTTGTTTATCTTTATCATGAAATGCACAAGATGCCCCAAACACGCTCTCATGCATGTAAATTTTCTTAAAAACAATTCGTGTTTTGATGGAAAATTTATACAGACTGTAATTCAAAAAGGGGGCATTTACATTCTTCCCGTACAATTCTTGTGTGATAACATATCTGAAATCAAAACTTCTAGAATATAAATTTTTTGGATGGTATGAATGTAAATGCCCATGTAAAACAAATTTGTGAAAAAGTTTATTATGGTTGAACTGGATTAATAGGCATAGAGGATGGTATTTACAAAATAATAATTATTTATTTAAAAAAAAAACAAGATGAGTAACATATTACCATGATGGCACTAATGCTACCATGAGATGATTTATCAATATTGGAGTTTGTGTTGATTTCCTTGAAAAGTATAAAGATGCTCCTAACATGATGGCACTCGATCCCACAATGCAAGACGGGTGCACTCAGACAGACTCGAACTCGTGACCCCCAGGGGATTGATGACTAACAATTAAGTTGCCAACGAAGAGTCACGATGCGCGCTAACATGATGGCACTCGATCCCACAATGCAAGACGGATGCACTCAGGCAGACTCAAACTCGTGACCCTCAGGGGCCTGATGATTGACAATTAAGCTGCCAACGAAAGAGTCGCGACACGCGTCTAATAGTTTATGACTAATATTTCACTCTTTTGTGTTTAAAGAGACGACAACGAGAGAATGATTAGCTGATGCTAGGTTGCTGATAAGTGCATAACCTTCGAGATGAAAATTAGAAGTAGAATATAAGAGCTATGAGCTATTGATCAAATACACCTTCAGGTCTGATCAGTCTTACCCATTGAATAGAGCTATAGAAAATCAGAGGTTGACCCTCGTGTTTAGCTGGCTCGAAATTAATTTTGTTTGAATTGGTTCTCATTTGAAATTGCCCTTGAACGGTGTATTCATGTTTGACTCGATTTATATGCTTTTGTTTGTGTTTAGTTCGAAATTAAATAGTTTAAATTAATTAGAATAACATTTCTTTACCATATCTATGCAGTAAAAAAAATGCAAAACCATGTGATCACACAAACTCTTGTGATTTAAAGTTATATATAAATATATATAATATATTATTGTATAAATGATATATATAATTTACTTATTTAAACCTAAGACGAGTCAAATACCATCAAAGGAAGTGTTATTTTGTGTTCGGCTTGTTCATATTTTAAATTATGAAAATTATTTAATCCTTTATTTATCACTTTATCACTGCGGCCCTTTAATGCATCATTATTAAATCGATGTGTTATTTTATGGCATTTACGGGACAAGCAAGACTCTCAAATTGATTTGTTGTTCGCGAACAACTCGCGTTCGGCTGATTAAGTAGCACGTTTTCGATTCGTTTGCTAAGCGAATGAGTAGAACACAAATTTTTTTTCTTATTTCGCTCCATATTTAAGTGGGCCTAACACAAATAAAGATTTGTTAATTCTTGTTTCACTCATTTTGTTTTGAAATAATTAAATTGACTATAAGGCTACACAAATTTATAATCAATTAAAATTATTAATTAAAATAGAATAAAAATATATTAAATTCTATTTAGATGAATATTTTAATATAAGTAATAAGTTTAAATCTTGCCTATCCTTAATAAGTTAACATCTGACAATTGCATGACTATGAATGTCAAAAGGGTTTGTTGTTGACGAACAAGTCGTGTTCGACTCATCGAGTAAAAAAGTCAAATACGAATATATTTTTTTAGTTTTGATATATAAACTAGCCGAACATAAACAATAATATTTTTTAACGAGCCGAACACGAACACCAACACGAATATCATTTTTTTTTTAAGGACTAATTTATAACCCTAGGCCATTAGGGACGAGTATAATTTTACGGTTTTACTAGCATATGTTAGACTTGAGCTCGAGCGGCCTACCAACCTCTTCCCAAATCCCTCGCATTAGATTGCTTTCTTCTTCCTCTTCTCTCACTGGATTGAGCTCCAAGAAACCCAGAAAAGATTCGAATTAGCTGACTGCGATGAGCAGCATAGGCACGGGTTACGATCTATCCGTCACCACCTTCTCCCCCGACGGTAGGGTTTTTCAGATCGAGTACGCGGCCAAAGCAGTCGACAACAGTGGGTGAGACCTAACATCTTTGATCCATTTGACCTCGGCGGCTGCTCTTCAATTCTGTTCTCGTTATTGTTTTTTTTTTCTCTTGATTTTTCTGTGACGTTGCTTACTGGTCTTTTGTTTTACCAGGACTGTTGTTGGTATCAGGTGCAAGGATGGTATTGTTTTGGTGAGGACTGTGTCATCTTGGTTTCTTTGTTCTTTTTTTTTTCACTTGTGTGTTTTACGATGTTTATTTTGGTGATGGTGGACTTTGATTTGGTGTTAGGGTGTGGAGAAGCTGATTTCTTCGAAGATGATGCTGGCGGGATCAAATCGGAGAATCCACTCCGTTCACCGGCATTCTGGAATGGTAGCTTATCTAGAATCCAGATACTCTGTATTTTGGAAAATTTACATGCATACCACTCAATTCCTATGTATTTACATATCTAACACCTAAAGTTCAATTTTTTGATTCATACCACCTTATCTATGCATGAAAAAGTGTATTTCACTTTTAAAAGTTAAAAATTTGTTTTTTGTTATTCTTTATTGATGTTAGCTCTATCTCAAAAAACATCATTTATGAGCTCTAGTTTATGGCCTAACCCTTTCCTTCCCTTTTATGACACATGATAATTTCTTTCCCATTACAATTCCCACTTTGAAAGTGCTCACTTTTCTACATACATGAACCGCCAAATGTTTTCCTACGAGCTTATGTTCGATTGGGACTATTACCACGCTCTAAACTAGTCATTCCAAAATATATCTTTTCTCATTTCATCCCATTCATATTAGCGCTTTTTGGCTTGATTTAATTTATGTGTTAATCAATGCTGAAATCTATATAACATCATCAATCTTATTGTAGTATAATGGAGTTTTCCTCTCAATATCTCATCAAATTCTCTATTTTGGATTTTTATTATTTATAATCGATCCAAGATGTTTGTGCATGCCACACCTTATGACGGTGTAATTATCCATAATTCTGCATAAGTCATTCATGTATTAAATTCAAGAAAATTGCAGATCAATTCACATTCTTGAATGTACTAATTTATAAACATTAACATCTAAAGTTTTCCTTGTAGTTCTAACGTCACATTTTTTACGAGTTTTGTCTCCTTTATTAAGGGCATCTTGCACTCAGTATATATCCCATTGTTATTGGAGTTATACTTGATGATGTGATGATAATGTCTGATGTGAATTGCACACTATTTGTAAAGCAAACACCGCTTTAAAATAGTTTATCCACTCCCCACTCACCATCACTTCTAGCTTGCCTTGCATTTATTTTCACTATTTTTGATATTCTCAACTATCATTTTATAATTTATTTATATTCATCCCTAAATAACTTATCTCTTCGAGATGAGTAACCAAGCATCCTCATATTCTGAAAATTGATATGCTATGATTATAAATTCTTTTGTTATTTATTTATTTTTTAATGTTATATTGGACATTTTAGGTTCTAGCATTTACTAATGTATAGCTATTATGATGAGCATGAAATAATGCAAATGCACTCAAAACTTTGTAGGATAAACTCTTTATTTTGACAAAATTTCATTTCCTTGAATTAAAGTTGGAAATCCCGAGATTCTTAATGAAGTTGATAATTAAATAGTTTTTACTAGTTGCAACTACTAGCAATAAAATAGAACAAAGAACATACAATTAAGTGATAGCCACACACTCATGGAGAAATTAAATTTTTTATTACATTAAAGAAAAGGCCTTATCAATTCTTATTCTTGAGAATACTTATTTATAGCCATTAACTTTTAAATGTTTTCTTATATAAGTACCTATTAAAAGTTAGGTGTTAAATACGTACATACATATGAATTATGTGGTATGTTTGTAAATCCCCCTAACTTTAAATGAAAAATCCAAGTTTGTTGATTATAAAGTTTCATAGTTGTCTGCTTTGCAATATCTTAAACAGATTTTTCTTAAGAAATCAGTAGCATAATTTTGTAGCTTTTCCCCAAAGCAAAGCCTATGGGCCTTGCTCTGTTTTCTTTAGCATACTTTGTGGTGCTATAGCACTTGTTATTTGTTTAGCCAGCCGGCATCCATCTTCTTATTAACTTCTTACCATATTTTTTCCATCATTAATTGTAAGATATATTTCTTTTTACTTTTTGAAATATACAGAAGAACAATATCTTTTAGTTCTATGAATTAGTTTGATTTAGTGTTGTCAAAGCTATAAATGAACTAATGCACTTGATGAACAACTCAAACTCGGCTCGATTAATATTCGATCATGTTTGTACAAATTAGTAAATAAATACGTTGGAAAATTTTTTTAGAACCTGAAAGTTAAATGAATCAAATTTGAACATAATCTAACTCGTTTATTAATTTTCACGAACAAACTCCTTTATTGTTTAACAAATAATTTGTTAAATGCTTTATATTTATATGATATATTATTTAAATAAAATTAGATTAACTAGAACTTATTTAATTATATCCTTAATGGTAACATATTATAATTTAATATGATATAAATTTAATACAATTTCTTCTTATTTTTTCATTTCAATGAACTTATTTTTTAGTACTACTTTATGTTATTTGATTGCAAGAAAACATATTAATTTAGATATTATTTATTTACTTGGTATAAAATAATTATACATTAATTTGAAATTTATTCAATTTTTTAATTATTTAAATTTATAAAATTATTTGCTAATAACTTTATATAAAATGTTTATTACGCTCTTGAATATTTCGCTTTTTTTACTAGTTTTTTTTTGATAAATTAAGTGCAAATAAAAATTTATATGAAAAAAATAGTTACTAATTTGAATTTTTAGCTTTGATAACTTCCCCTTGCATGTTTTTTTTTAATCTTTTCACATAAATTTAGATATATTGTTAGTGGCTATTCATTTACTATTTTTAGTTTGTTATGTTTTAATTTTATTTATATTCAAACATGAAATTAAAGTATGTATGATATTCTTGAGCATTCATTTTCTAAAAACAAAAAATATGTTGCTCACACTTTTGTGTCAGGATGATGGGAGCCATACCCAATTGGGTTGAGTTTGAGGAATTCTTAAAATTTTAAAAACATCTTAGACATATTTTATGTCTTTTTAAAACAATTTAATTTATTTTTAAAACGAACTTAATAGAAGTAAACAAAAATAATTTACTATCTTTTCAACTACTTATAAAATTAAAATAAAATGAATAAAGATCCAAAAAATGACCATAGTTATTTTGGTGACATGCTTTCAAATACAGGCTGTGTCTGGATTAGCAGCAGATGGTAGACAAATTGTTGCAAGGGCTAAGTCTGAAGCAACAAACTATGAAAGGTTCCTTTCTTCATTTATTAAATTCTATTTTACTGAATCCTTTTCTATGTTAATTCTTTTGTATAGATTGTTCTCTTTGCTATATAAGATACTTCTTGAACAGAACATATGGCGAGCCTATCCCTGTGAGGGAACTCGCAGATCGAGTTGCCAGCTATGTTCATCTTTGTACGCTTTATTGGTGGCTGAGGTACTAAATTCATGGAAGATTTAGATACATGCCACTCAATTCCTATCTATATACATATCTAACACCTAAACTATAATTTTTGCATTCATGCCACCTTACCTATGCATAAAAATGTGTACTTCACTTTTTAAATGTTAGAATGGTTGTATTTTTGATGTGATATGAAAAATTTGAGTGGTGCAAGTGCAAAAAGGAAAGTTTAGACGTTAAATATGTAAATGCATAGGAATTGGGTGGTAGGTGTTTAAATGCCCCTAAATTCATTTAAGTATCTTTATTTTGACAATCTGTTTGATATGCTTTCTCCGATGATGAGTTTAATTTATATTTATATGAATAACTAAAATAAAAAAAGTCATATTTTGCTTTTTCAGACCATTTGGCTGTGGTGTTATCCTTGGAGGTTATGATAGAGATGGACCTCAGCTGTATATTGTTGAACCTTCAGGAGTTTCCTATGTTAGTTTATCACATCATTGATCAAATTTGTTTAATTTTTCTTGCATAGGCATATATTGCCGTATGTAATTATTTTATTTCGAACTAGATTGTAACTGTTATACCTTTATATTTTGCAGAGATATTTTGGTGCTGCAATTGGGAAGGGCAGGCAAGCTGCTAAGACGTAAGTAGTGATTTTGCTAAGGTTTGATAACTGCAATTTTTGTCAAAGAATAGTATTTGATTGTTTTAAGCAATTTATAATCTGTGAGTATGTTTACTTTTTTTTTTCTTGATAACGTCCATCTTTTTTATATGAATATGAATGAGGGCTTAAATATCATAGCCGTACTTTTTAGCTGTTGGTGGAGATTTTCCCAGAGTCTTGCATTTAATTGATCATAACATATCAAGGGTAGGATTTCCTAATGCAAAAGTAAAGCACGAAATTAAATTATGACTCAAAAAATAAATTGCATTTTTTTCTAAGGCACAAAACATTGCAATTATTAGAAGTAAACATATCATGACGTGTACAAAAATATTGTTATATGAGAATTCTCTCTAAAAAATCTTTGATTGATATCGGACCCACCTGTCGAAGTGGAAAGTGGCTAAATAGAGCTCACCTGTTGAAGTAATTGAAATCAATAAATTTGAGCCCACCTGCTGAAGTGGTTGAAATCAATAAAATCGAGCCCATCTGTCAAAGTTGTTGAATCGAGTCCACCTGCTGAAGTAGCTGATTCGATCACTCTCATCTTCCTCGAAAGAACCGCCTAGTTCACCTATGTGAAGGGGACAATTTGAGGAAACCATCATGATTAATTAGGATGCTCGTAGGTCATTCATTAAAGACGCCACTCAACATTCGTGATCTACCCCTTTCTCTTATATGCCAGAGAAATGCCCGAGACTTGCCAGGAACTAGAATAAGAAGAGCTCTCGAGCCAATCTTTGAGCGAGAAAGATTACGCATAGACGACTTGATTTGTTTGGAAGAAGTACTGTTACAAACTCGTTATGGGAAGAAAAGTTGAATGTTTTCTCCTGGCTATCACGAGGAAGAATTAAGGAGAGGAAGAAAACAAAGACCGGTAGACATCCCCTTCTCAAGAGAAATTTTGGAAGTTGAGCGCCAAGGAATTTCAAGATTCCATCTTTGGAATCTTACAAAGGAAAATCTAACCCCAACGACCACTTATCGTCCTTTGAGTCGGCTGTCAATCTGCTCAGGATAAACATCGCATCAAAATATTGTTTATTCTTCATGATGTTGAAATAATCAACTCTACACCGGTTCAACCACCTACCAATAAGAGTTATTACATGCGGTTCAGTTTACTAGTGCACAGAAGCCACAAAAAGCTTGCAAGTACTCCTGAAGATACATCAGGAGCCCACCAAAACCTTGAGTGGTTTTATCACTCATTTTCAGCGGGAAATGCTGGACGTCCAAGACCTAGAGTCGGCGTCACTGACATGGCCTTAGTTCAAGGCCTACGCGAATGGTCATTTCAATACACTCTTGCCTTTGTGGAAGCTGAAGACATTGGGAGAGCTTCTGGAGCTTGAAATTAGCCTTATCTTTAGAGAAGAATATAATTCTAGTCCTGGATCCTCTCGACCACCAGAGTCCAGAGAAAGATCCCAGACCCAACCTTATGAAAATCGACAAAATCTGAAGAATCATTTTAGGAAGAGGAAAACCCATAATACTCGTGACAATTGCACTCTTCAAAATTAAAGAAATACAAGGAGATTAGCTAAAAGAAGACCCGATATGACTCGGAAACTGCTCCGCCTCATCCTTCCTTTGGCAGAAATTACTCCACTGAAAGTTTCAATGACCGAAGTTGTGGAATTCATTCATAATAAAGATAATTTCAAAGAGCCCTTTCTCTTGAAAGCAAAAACACACGCCCGTGATCCTAACCGATATTGTGCCATCATCGAGATCATAATCACGACATTGAAGAATGTCATCATATTCGCAACTCGATCGAAGAACTAATCAAGGTAGGAAAGTTGGAGAAGGTCGTAGCCCCAGGGACTCATACTCATAAACAACAGGGTAAGGTGTCTGTCGACGACAATAACAATGAGCTAAAATATTTGATAACAATCACGGCTCCTGTGGTTTACGTTAATAGCTAGGCGTCTGATAGAATGATGATAGCTAGGCTCTGTAATAGCTAGGCTCTGTAACATGACATCATCTTATGACCGGTCATTGGCAGAAAGTTAAATTTGAAAGCATCCCTCAATTTTACTATTTTTGTAAGGCCTTTGGCCACATTCACTTTGAATGCTTCCAAGGCCTTTTCAAATATAAGAATATTATAGGTTTAGAATCTTGAAGTTCACTTAAATGGTCATACCCCGTATTCTCCTTCAATGATTGTTGCTTCTTCATTAGTAGAGACGAATTGATTATTTGGAAGCTTTATTTGTAGTGTTGCCTCTACCATCTCTTTGGCTTGAATGTTTACATCTCTTAAAATTGTTATGTACATTGATCCTCTTGCCTCTTACTAGAGAATAAGCACAAGGTCATAATCCATTGCTTTCTTTTGATTTTAATTGGCGCATTTTGAGTGATAATGTGCTGGTGGGAAGGAAGTTTCATAACCTATTCAGTAGATGGGGCTATAATCAGAAGGAGAATTCATTTGTACTCTCCATTTCTAACCAAGCATTAAATTACGTGGGCTCATGAGCTTGTATTCCATGATTTCTTAGTTTACCTTATGTAATTTGTTTCTCTAGAAATTCTTAATAATTTTTTTCATGTACTTGTATCATTTGCTTATTAAAAATTATGCTTAATGAAGGTTGTGGCTACTGCATGACTCCTGTTTGTATAACGTTCCTTCATTGCTTATGTGATCTTTTTCACAAGACTACCATCATCGATTCTCCGGGCGATTTCTAGTCTTAGTGAAACTTAGCTACACCTTATTTTGTGAATATTTGCAATCACTATCTACATAAGCAAGACTTTTTGGCTGTGAGCTTTTCTGTAGCGGTTGCCTTACACCATACTTTAAGGGTTCTTATATTTTTGGGATGCGCTTGGTTAAAAAATAATGGAGTTTTCGGCTATTAGTGTTGTATGAAGGAAAATATAATTATATTAGCTATTTTATTTTGGATCTACTTTAGTTTATACTTTTCATCTTCTTTGAACGACATTGTCCGCAAGGTCACGAACGACTTTGTCTGCTTCCCGAGTGCATCATCCAAAGTTGACATCATCCGCTTCGCATTCTTTGTCAGTGTCATTCGACTTCATCTGCATCGACTTTGCCTTTAGCTTTGTCTTTCTTTGTCGGTGGCTTTGTTTTTCATAACACTATCGCTCATCTTCTTTTAAGATTGCGTTAGCTTCTTCTTCGGCTGCAACATCACTCATCAGCTTCATCTGCTTAGGTCGACTACAGTAGCTGTTTTGTTCGAATGTTTTGCTTCTTTTTGTTTGACTTCATGTGTTGCTTCCTTCGGCTTCATTCCGTTGGTCACTTTCATCTGATTCAGCTGGAGTTCGTCCCGCCCTTTAGCTCATCAATACTTAATCTCATATTTGGTTATAATTATGGTTGTGGAACAGAAATATGGTTTAACTAAGGCTATCAAAGCGACTTGTTTTTCGCGAACAACTTGTGTTCTATTTGTTCGCCAAGTAAACGAGCCGGACTCAAACAATTTTGCGCTCGATATATAAACAAGAACACAAATAAAAATTTATTCGTTCGTGTTTCGCTCGTTTTGCGCTCAACATATATATAATGCGTGTTATTTTTAAATAATTTAATTGACTACATGGCTACAAAGATTTATAATCAATTAAAAATAATAATTAAGACAATAGAATAAAAATTATTAAATTAGATTCAAATGACGTTTTAATATAAACAATAATTTTTAAATCTTGCCCCAACCCTTAACATCTTATGGCTACTTGATTAGGGTTGTGAAAACATTGTTTGTCAAAATGCTTTGTTGCTCGTGAACAACTCGTGTTTGGCTCAATAAGCAAACGACCAAATACGAACAAATTTTTTGAGCTTGATATATAAATGACTCAAACACAAACAATGATATTTTTTAACGAACAGAACATCGGAGCCGAACTCGAACACATTTTTTGAGCTCGAAATGTAAACGTTTACACCCCTAAATGAGCATGCTAGGCAAGATTAGTTCACGTTGCTGGAGTAGTACCTGCCATCTTGAGAGGGGACGGACCTGGAACTGCCCCCTTTACATAGGCGAGCTAGGTGATTCTTTCGAGGAAGATGAGAGTGATCAGATCAACTATTTTGGCAGGTGGGCTCAATTTTGGCCACTTCGGATATTGGTCTCGATTTCGGCCACTTCGGATATTGTTCTCGATTTCGGCCACTACGGCAGGTGATCTCGATTTCAGCCACTTTGGCAGGTGCTCTCGATTCAACCACTTCTGCTGGTAGGCCCAATTCAGCCACTTCGCCATGTGGGCCCGATTTCAGCCAGGAAATTTTTAGCGAAAATTTTCATAAATCCGTATTTGTGTATACACATGAATATAAACATAAGCATTAGAATTGATTTTTCTACTAATGTTGAAAAGACTATAGGTTGTCCTTGTATGCAATTTCCTTATATTTGGTTTTTGAAATGTTAAGGTTTTGTACTAATCTTGACACTGCCTTCTTTGTACTCTTAAGCACCTCTCTTGTTAAACATCAAAATTTTTCTTATTATGCATTAAATTTTTTCTAACCTTATAATGTAAATAATGTATATGTTGTGCAGATGATCTATCAAAACTGAAATATGCAGGTAGTGGTAAAGAAATCAGATTCATAGACTTTCTATGATTCAGAGTTTGAGCACTTTTAGACGGTGTCATGTTTATATATGCAATGCAAATTTAGTGATAGGTAGATGTGTATCTCAATAACCTCCACCTTTTTTTAAACCTTAGTTTGACTATCAAATTGGAGGTGAAAGGATGATGAAAATTAACGCTTGTTACATAATAATTCTCATGAAATTTTCATGAGATAGGAATAAATTCTGACATTTTTATTAAATACTTTTGTATGACCCATCTAACCTATATATTTCTGTAGATAAAGACACTGCTACATAAGATTCATCCAGAATTTTGGGGCATGTAATAAAACTAGTAATTTTAACAATCTATCAGCCACCATTATTACCATCATGGCTCTAAACAGTTTTTGGTAATCCCAATGTAAAATTCATAAAAATGTTTGCCTGAGGAGTTAAAGGAATAGGAAGAGAAGTACACATGCAGATGCATTGTGTGATTATTTTTTTCATTTGGCATGCATGATTGCCATTGACGATCCGTGTAGCATTCTTTTGCTATGAAGGCCAATAAAATCTACTGTCAAATAAATGTATTATATTATCTTGCCTATGTGACAAACATGCATTTCCTAAAGAAGAGCTCGTGGGAATCTAAAGCCTACTAGCATTTAACAAATTATACATATATCCAACTTGAATCATAAAAATTGCCTTGTACAAATGACATTTCTGTGGTTGTGATAAGTCAAGTAAAAGTCTAGAAATGTCAGTCACTTGTTTTCTATTCTATCAAACGAGATGCATTATTTTGCATAGAGGTTGAGACTAAGGAAATTTTGGATGGTGCATACGTTGGTTTATTTTGAATGCTTGATATACGTTCCAGGATATAGTTGTAATCTTGAAGGTATCTATTTCACTTAACATATTATTATGAAAATTCTTTTGAGTATTTATGTATTTCTAAGCATGATGATTATAAATAGATATGATGGCATTTGATAGCAAATAATTTTGTTAGTACGTAATGCTTTAATGGGAGCATAACGTTTTCTATCACAAGTAGAATAATTTTGTTTAGCCTCATTCAACTTTTAATTTAAGTAGGAACTTGTACGATTTTGGCTAAGAGCATGTTTATACTAATGACAAAGGCATCATATGATATCTTAAAATACTTCTCCAAAATTGGAAAGGTTTAAAAGGCGATGCAATCATTAATACCTATATTTGTTTAAAGGCTTTGCTACGATATGTGTCTAATTAAGCTCGCCTTTTAAGATCTATCAAAGGGGTGGTAATAAAATTCAACTTTGTAATGATATGTCTCTATAATGTAGCTAACTTGAGAAAACACCAAACATCGAATGCAGAAGTAGGGGTTGGTCGATCAAGGATTGCTTTGATTTTTTAGGGATCATGTTAAATTCCCTTGATAGATAACACAAATCCAAGACATATTTAAATGTGCAATTAGAAAGAGTAATATTCAACTTATTGTCCCTTACAACTTGATGATACTTGATGCAAATTATCTATAAATAAATGTGATCAAATTAAAACTGAATCACCAATCTCATAATGGTATATTAGACAGAAGATAATTCATAAGACATAACATATCACTGTACAACCTGACGAGTGTCTTAAATGTTACTTTTCATTCATCTTTAGGAAAAAATTGAATCATATGGTACTATGCCAAGAATGTCATCCAATGTTGGTATAAAGAATCTTTACTTTAAGGTGATTGTATTTATTGTTTAACTATGATCGCATATGTCAACAAACATCATTCTTTGGTGTCAATAATGTTGGAACAAACGCGAACATAACTTTTTTTTTGTGTATGTATTTTTAAGGAAATAGTTTATTTACTTGAATGTTTTTGTTTAGCATATTATGGCATTCATTGAATCTTATAGCATGATAAAATTTATAACTGTGAGCTCGAGATAAAAATTCAATGATATACTAAACATTCATTGTGGGAGGAAGCTCTTTGAGTAGCTAATTAGGAGCAGCGGCCCAAAATTCTAGATGAAAGTTTATAACCATAGCATATTTATAATTTTTAGAAATAGAAAAAGATATCTGATTTGTGACCAACACAAATTGTATAGGGGAATCAATGATAGCCCACTAGAAGGTCTTTTGACCATAAGATAATAACCCCGAAAAGAAATATGAAATGGTCAGATTTGTCTAAGTTTTTGCCAAAACTTCAAATAGTTTGGTGGAATTACTAGTCGTTAACTCAGATTGAACAATTGGCACTCTAGCTGATTTTGGTGTAAAGTTTATAGCCATAACATTTCTATGATTTTTGAAGCAAGAGAAGAAATAAATATCTTACATATCTAACAAAGGATGGGGGCATTTACACACATACTACCCAATTCTTATGTATTTACATACCTAACACCTAAACTTTGTTTTTTACATTTAAAACACTCAAATATTTCATGTCAAATAAAAAATAGTACCATTTTAACTTTTAAAAGTGAAATACACCATTTCATATATAGGTTAGGTGGTAAGTATGTAAAAGTTGAAGTTTAGGTGTTAGATATGTAAAGGCATAAGAATTGAATGATATGCATATAAATCTTCCTTTAGGATAAAATATAAAGATAGAAAATTTTACTTGAGGGTAATCTCTTAAAGAAGTTTTTCAAACGGTGTCATTGAATTCAGGATTACATCATATGTTGGTGGTAGATTAAACTTAACCGCTGAATAGATTTATATGTTCATGCTCTAAAGCCAAAAATGATTTGGAGGATATGATTGACATCCATGGGGAAGATATCACATTAGATTTGTCCTCATAACAATCCTTCTAGATAATAACTAGACGACTTTTTATAATATATGAGGTTCTTTGGTTCTCCCAAGCTCATGGAAAGGCGTAGGATGTGACTCTTTTGTCCAAATAGCTTTTAAGCTAAGTTGTTTCTTAGAGAACATTAACGGAAATCCTTTTATTAATAACTAATTTACATATTTTATGATAATAATTTGCATACATTAGTAAGATACTAGTGCATTTCCAATACTCAGAAGTGGTTGAGGATGTGAAAATAATTCCCACAACATGAAAATGTGCTGAACTATCATAAAAAACATTAGCACCCTCATCTTTAAAAGGCTTATCATTTGATCATATCCTCAACTAGAATTTGAGCTTTTTTGATCCATTAAAAAACTAATATGAGGGCGTTGGAATAAGTGCTTGCCAAATTAACAATTGATTTATCTAGCATATTCTCTCGTTGTTGTGAGACTTAAATTTGGAATAAAAAACTATTGTGTATGGCCTAGGCTGAAATACAGAGTTTCCAACTAAAGTGGAAGTGGTTAATATCTTATCAGAATTAATTTTTGATGAAAAATGTGTTATGAAAGCCTATATTGTTTCCTGAACTCAAAGCCTTGTGCTAGGCACCCTCAATATTATTGGGATTATATAAAAGTTATTCTAACTTTATACGAGGAGAATGTCATTTCAATTTTGAATTATCCTAGAAAAGCTCTCACTTCAATACTAGCTTTTCGAATTGATTATGCTAAACAATAATTGATTGAGAACCTCAACTACAATTGAAAAGGACTTGGCAAGCCTCCTATAGAGCGAACAATAGTTTTGCCTAAAAAATTATTTTTATTTTAGCGAAGGGGTAGCTCTCGACAAGTCTTTATCTTGAATAAGGATATTCTATTTTCATTTAATTTATTTTGACAACTTCATTTTGGAGATATAATTGTGCATATACAAGATGGATCTAGAGGGCACTTAATCGCTCATAAATAATTTGCATTTATTAAATCATTTGGTAGTAATGCACGTCATGGTTCCCTATCTATAGAAATAAGGTTACAAGAAAAAGGTCAAGCATTTGAATTAGAACTAATCCTATCCAATCTAGGAAGTATTCAATTTTAAGTATATTCTTAACCAAAAGTAAATAAATCCTAACCAATCTAGTAAGTATTCAATTTTAAGCATATTCTTAACCAAAAGTAAATAAAACTTGACAAACTATTTATCATTAGAAATAATTACAAAGTCTTTGCAGCAAGGGACATATTTAATGTTTTGAAGATATCATAATTATCTGGCTTTATTTATAATATTTAATGTCAATATATTTTAAAAATTAATTTAAATCATTTGGAACTTTTTATTAAAAATAAGTAAAAATGTTGTTGTATTTGACGCTAATGACCAGTGCCAGAAATTACCAGCATCTGGACTTTAGTTCAGAGAATGAATGCAAATTTGATAATTATGAAATTCGATTTCAGGAATCCATTGCAAGGTTTAAACTCGCAGGCTAATTCATGCATATTAAATAGATTTATCGACCAAATATTTGTCTGAAAAACTCTTGTATTACTCTGTATTCATTTGGAATTTCGGACATGATGTTTCATATTCACAGGATTTGTTTGGGATCACTTTTGTTTTCTTGCTTTTTGTTTTTATTTAAAAAAAAAACATATTTATTTTGTACTTTTTTAGCATTTATTTATTTTTTGTATTAAAAAACAAATTAGCTTGTTTTTAAAAATCACTTAAAACATCTATAAATTATTTTGAGTGGTTTTAAAATCAAGAAAATTTGTTAAAACACAACAAACATATTAATTTCATGTAAAAATATAAACAAAATAAAATAAAAAAAATGAAAAGCTGTCCAAAACAATCCCTTTGTTTCCAATTTATGCCATTTGTCGGTTTTTCAATGTATATTTGACTACTTGTTTGGGGTTCAGACCAGCATTTAAAAGAAAGAAAGTTTTATCTTGATGTTTCTGCTCATCTCATCTATTTGATTTTTGACAGGGAAATTGAAAAGTTGAAGCTTTCTGAACTAACATGCAGGCAAGGCGTCGTTGAAGTTGCCAAGATGTAAGTGATTTAGGTACTTCTGGATAAAAGTGTATTATAAGTTTCACATACCACTCAATTCCCATGTATTTACATATCTAACAGTTAAACTTCAATTTCTACATACATACCATCTTACCTATGCATGAAAGGTGTATTTCACTTCTTAAAGTTATTTTTGATGTGATATGAAATATTTGTCTTGTATAAATGTAAAAAAAATAAAATCTTTGTTTTAGATTTGTAAATACATAGGAATTGGTTGGCATGTATGTGAATGCCTCTGCTTAGAGAAATTTACATACATACCACGCAATTCTTATGTATTTACATATCTAACACCTCAACTTTCATATTTACATGCATACCACTTTGGTCTGATAAAACTATGCATGAAAACGGTGTATTTCACTTTTAAAAAGTAGGTAATAGTGGTATTCTTTATGCGATATTAAAGATTTGAGTGTCATGCCTGTAAATCTGAAATTTTGGATGTTATATATGTAAATACATAAGAATTGTGTGGCCTGTTTGTAAATGCCCCTTTTGCCTATCAGACCTGATATCAAAATTCTTTCGAAAGCAATTAGTGCAGAAATACCGGCTGGCTATTTACTAGATGCATACTTCTACTAGATGAAAATAGTCTGGACATTAAATTTAAGTTTTTATGGAGTCTCGAATTAAAATGGCCCTCTACAAAGAATTAGGAGGCTATTTTTTGACACTTCTCTCTTTTCTTATATTAATTCATCAATGTTAAAGTTATGAAGCTAGACAAGAAGTGGAGAATACATCATTGCACATTTATTTATTTACTTCTATCTTCATAATGTGATCTCTTTATGTATCCACGTCCTTAATGCTACTATTGTCTGTACATTTTTTCTATAGAAAATTTTCATATTATTTTTATCTTTTTAATTAAAACATCTATGACCTACTATAATTCACAGTGATGCTTTCATAAAACAGAGCCTCTCAGTCAGAAAGATTATTGGGAACTCCAGCAGTTTAGAAATAGAACAAAAAATTTCCTTTACATAGAACATGTAAATAGAGTGACAATATGCAGAAATTGTTTGTTCTATTAATTTTCTTTATCACATGGAATCCATCCATAGAACAAATTTTGCTTTATGAAATATAGTTTTTCTAAATTAATCTTCATCTCCTGAAAATTCGTGCTTTTATCAACCACAATCTTATCAATAATATCAGAACAGCAATACATAATCTCACGTACAATTCATATTATTTTCATGAGTTGTTAATTTGAGTGTCTTATGAAATCACAAATGTTTCTGCAAGCAATGTGCTCCTAAGTAGAAATGGAATGAGGGAATCAAAAAAAGGAAGAAGTTTGAAGGGAATGTTACGATATGGCGTCAAAATCAGCATGTTTTTTCACAAAAATCATTGCAAAATAATATTTTCTTCAGTAATTCAAACAACTCAACAAGAATACAAAAGATAAGCACCTACAATTCGAGGCACCTACAATTCGAGAGAAGCACCTACAATTCGAGAGATAGGCGATCTCTCCCAATTTCTACAATTTGAGAGGTAGGAAATCTTTCCCAAACTCTAAACCTAAGACTCACAACCCAATCTCATGCATAAATCTAACCCTAAATATAATAAGCCTATTTATACCCAATAATACTACTACTGCTACTAATAATAAAAGCCTAACTTGCCCTTAGGCATACAAAAGAAAAAATTGCACTTAGGGTAGAGAACACCGTAACATAACAGGGAATTATAAATGTTTTAGCCAAAATTGCCCTTAAGTTGAAAATTGCTGACCTACACAGATTGTAGTGTCTTCTGTGTTTGTTTCCTAGAATGAAATTTTTATTCTTTTCTTTTTTTATATTTCCTGATTAGGATTTTTTATTAATGAAGTATTTGTGAATCATTTCAAATATAGCCTCTTGTTAAACTTATTGTTACATATTTACCCCCATTCCAATTTTACAGAATTTATGGTGTTCATGATGAGGCCAAGGATAAAGCCTTTGAATTGGAATTGAGCTGGGTCTGTGAAGAATCAAACAGGCAGCACCAAAAGGTAATATATAAGTTCTGTGAGATCTTTCAGATGCTCTCAGGTTTGAAAGAAAACATCTACTACTCAAGTCATGGAAGATTTACATAAATTGCACTCAATTTTTATATATTTACATAAACATCCAGACTTGAATTGTTTCCTATACACCACCTTACCTATGCATGGAAAAGGTGTATTTTGCTTTTTAAAAGTTAAAATAGTGGTATTTTTGTTGTCATATGAAAGATTTGGGTAGTTTAATTGTAGAATATATATAGTTTAGATGTTGGATATGTAAATAAATAGAAATTAGGTGGTGTGTTTGTAAACGCCGCTTGTTTATCTAAATAATTGAGCAAACTTGAACAAGAATTTATTAGCTTGTTTGCTGTTTAACAAATAGCTGGTGAAGAACTCTATAAAATGCTCATTTAATGACACTTCAATTATTGCATATTCATAACAATCTTCTTATAACATGAGCTTTAAGTGTAATGCACATGATTGGAGATGTAAATATCATAAAAATCTCAAATAATTAGATACTTAAATTAAACTTGATTAAATAAAATAAATAGTAATTAGTGTATTATTTTAAGTTGAATGTTTGGTAGGCCTTTGTATGTAATAATAGTATAGCACTCGCAGGTGCCGGAGGATCTCCTGGAGGAAGCCAAAGCAGCCGCCATTGC